ATTGTGTCAGGTGGAAAAAGCAGATCTAAAAAGGTGTGTTTTGAGTTATGATTTGTATTGTGAGATTGACTTTATGTTTCTAATGTGAGGTGGTAACGAGTTCCAAAGTCGGGGAGCAGAGCGACTGAAGGCTCTGCTCCCCATGGTGGTGAGACGGGCGGAGAAGACAGTCAAAAGGATGGAGGAGGATGATCTGAGGGAGCGAGAGGGAATGGCAATATGAATAAGATTTGAAAGATATGGTGGGGAGAGATTGTAGAGGGCCTTGAAAGTGAACAGGAGAATTTTGTAATCTAAGCGGAACTTGGTTGGCAGCCAGTGGAGTTTTTGCAGGACTGGAGTGATGTGATGAATGGATGGGGTTTTGGTGATGATGCGGGCAGCTGAGTTCTGGACCAGTTGGAGCTTATGAAGAGATTTGTGGGTGAGACCGAACAGAAGGGAGTTGCAATAGTCCAGGTGCGATGTAACCAGACAGTGAACAAGGATGGCAGTGGAATGGGGAGTAAGGGAGGGGCGGAGGCGGTTGATGTTGCGTAGGTGAAAATAAGCCTAACGGATGGTGTTGTTGATATGAGACTGGAAAGAAAGAGTGCTGTCGAGGGTGACACCTAGACTCTTTACCTGAGGGGAGGGAGAAATGGAACGGTTATCAATGTCAATACTGAAATTTTTTGTTTTAGCCAGGGTGGATTTTGTACCAATGAGAAGAACCTCTGTTTTGTCACTGTTAAGTTTAAGAAAATTTGAGGTGAACCAGGATTTTAATTCAGTCAAGCAGTCGGTAAGCGAGGATGGCGGGAGGTTGGAGGCGGGCTTACTGGAAACAAAGAGCTGGGTGTCATCCGCATAACAGTGGAAATCGATATTGTGCTTGTGGAAAATAGTGCCGAGGGGAAGAAGATAAATAATGAAGAGGAGGGGTCCCAGGACAGAGCCCTGGGGAACTCCTGATGTGACAGATGAAGGCTCAGAAGTGAAGGTTTTGATCCGGATGAACTGAGTGCGGCCGGAGAGATATGATTTAAACCAATTTAGAGGAGTCTGAGTGATACCGATAGAGGAAAGTCTATTGAGTAGGGTGGCATGGCAAATGGTGTCAAACGCTGCACTCAGGTCGAGGAGGATGAGGATGGACAGCAAGCCGGAGTCAGCTGCCAAGAGGAGGTCATTGGTGATTTTTATAAGAGCTGTTTCTGTACTATGGAGGGGACGAAAACCAGACTGAAACAGTTCATACAGGTTATTGTTGGATAAGTAAGTATGGAGTTGAGATGCAACTGTCTTTTCAAGAATCTTGGAGATAAAAGGCAAGTTGGAGATAGGACGGAAATTATTGTGATTACGGTAATCAGCGCCAGGTTTTTTCAGGATAGGGGTTATGGCAGCAATTTTAAATGATGCAGGAACTGTTCCGGTGGAGAGAGAGGAGTGAATAATGGCAGAAATGAGAGGGAGTATAGATGGGGCACAGGCTTTAACCAGAACTGTTGGAAGAGGGTCAAGCAAACAGGACAACTTGGACTTGTTGATGAGGCTTATGATTTCTGAAGTTGTCAGGAGTTCGAAGGAAGAGAAGGAGTGGGCTGGAGGAGAAAGTTCACGAGTAGGACAAGGGGTCGGTTGTGAGCTGAGATACTGATGGATCTTAACAATTTTACTGTCAAAAAATGACATGAGGGAGTTACAAAATTTAGTTGAACACAGATGTGAAGGTAGGGAGTCCGGGGCTTGGGTGATGTTCTTGTAGAGGACATCTTTTTGTCATAAGATGATCTTAGTTTAACATTCTGCTGTGGAACACGGTGGGCGATGTGCGTTCCTTAAAGAAATGCCAGGCTTTTAATGTAGAATGGTTTAATGCTTCATAAGAGTGAGAGACACGTGGCTCTTAAAGTTCCACATTCAACTGTAAAATGGATAAAAGTAATATACTCACAATATTCGCTCTGTGTTA